TTTCCTCCCAAGGAGCAAGCGTCTTTTAGTTTCATGGCTGCAGTCTCTGTCTGCGGTGATCAGATGTTCCCTAGCCCGGTAACAAAATGTTTGCCAGAAAACAACCCAGCTCAGAGAACCCCAAGGACTCCACAGTTCAACCCTGAGCTACACATATTCACTTCTATCTTCTCCTTTGGCCGCAAATCTGCCTCTCCGCTTTCCCCACTGAACAGGATGGGACCGATCCATCATCCGCGACCAACCTGAGCTTGTCTTTATGCAGCAAAAGCTGCTTGTACACCATCTGAGCCTCCGCGTCGGGATCCAGAGGGTCACTCCAGTCGCCCAGGGTCACCGCAGAGTGCGTACGGCTGCAGCCCCGAACTGTTCCAAACCACAACACAGATGATCCTGTAAGTTGAGGAAACGGGTGGCCGCGTAGCCCAGGGGTGGGGAATGGACTCTTGCGATGCTACTAACTACAATACCCAGGCACCCCAGCCAGTGGGGCTGAGGGGCTGAGATGCCAAAGGTTGCCCTCTATCCACTTCTGGAGAGATGCAAACCCCCATCTCTGATCGCTTCTGATCTGAGGGTGGGCTATAGGGAAAAGGAAGTTTAGAATGGAGATCTTTCTAAGTGTGTTTTCACCTTTGCTGTAGGGGACAACTTTCCCCACATGGTCAGCCCTTCAAGGTAGACCAGACTAGGAAGCCAGAGTTATGAATGCTAATACTAGTTTTATTATACGGTTACAGTAACAGAATCTTGCATAAGAACTAGGGAGGGCATGTCTGAGACGCTTTCTCAAATTACATTTCTGCCCTGGACTCAGATTTCTTTTATCTGACCATCGTCTTGGTTGAAGCTCTTCCTCCTGTTCCTCAGGGTTATTCCTTCTGTCCGTTACAATATAGACAAGTATGGAAATGGCCTTCAAGAAGGCAATAGTCATTATTAAACATCTGCTTAGCCCTGGAAGGGAGGAGTGAGTAGGAAAGAAACTCAAGATTTTCCAGACTCAATTCTCTTGGGTATAAGATGGGGAAGAGAGAACCTCTGTCAGGCTTTCAAGATTCTGTTATTATACCCTGCAACAATAGAGTTCCTGTAAGTTTTGTGGAATCTGTTTCCTGACCTACTTCAAAGGGCTGACACCCACTCCCTTCTTCTTTCCACTTCCTTTGAAAAACAAAAATCCCAGAAGGGAGGAGGAAAAAAGGCATCTAGTTGTTAATCATAAGTTAAATATGGGCCAGCAGCGTGACGTGGATGCAAAACAGGCCAATGCAGTTTTAGACTACATCCACAGATACCTGGTTGCCAAATCATTGGAAATAGATACGATCCGTCCTAGTATACTCTGCGCTGCTCAGCCCCTAGCATGCATGTTTTATCCTGTTCTGGGCACCAGCTTTTCGAAAAGATTCAGAGGAACTAGAACAGGTGCAGAGAAGAGCAAGGAAGATGATCAAGGGACTGTAAAATGAGTCTTAAGAGGAGAAACGGAAAGAATTATGTCTGTTTAGCCTTGAGAAGACCGGGGGCCAGAACTATTACTATATTTTTCAAGTCCCAAATGGGTATTCTGTAGAGAAAGGCCAAATCTTGTTTTTTTAGTCTTCCTATGTAAAATGGAGATATTGCATGATAGGTTGGAAGATTCGGTTGAGCCCATGGAAAAAATTCCTACCAATAAGAGCATTTTGATGGTGGGACCAATGACCTTGGAATGTGGTGGGCTTCCCTCTGCTTGACTGATTCAAGCAGGAGCAGAGGAGGCACCTGCCAGGGATACCTCAATATGGATTCCTGCACAAAGCAAGGGGGGAGGGGGAGAAGTGGATGGTCTCCGTAGTCCCTTTTAGCATCTAAGATCCCACACGCACAATGCTCGAGAGAAGATTGCAATGTTCAGGGTGGCCCAGCCTAGATCTACAGGTTCAGAGGGAACCCTTGACTGGGGTTAGCCTTTCTCCCAACATCTCAGGAACCTCATTCCAACTCCAGGATTTCACAATGCACCGTCTGATTACCGGCACGGTCCGTCTGCAAGCAGCACGTCCAGCGGCTACCTCGGAAGGCGCCCGGGTGGCAAAAAGGGAGCATACATTCGTTGGAGATGGTAGCCTTCCGGATAGCTGAAAGCCACTGGTTGAGCTCGTTGACGTTCTGCCAAAGAAAGGCACAAGAATGAGTCACGCAACGGCGGGAATGGACCTCATCGATTGCTTGCTTTGCTCTTGCATCTTTCTGCAGAGGCTTGTGTGCTCCTCAACGGGCCTCGGGGGGATTGGCAAACCTCAAGGTTTTGCAAAACCGGCCCCTCTTAGCTTCACATTCACTGCTATAGCGTGTGTCTGTGTGTGTGCATCTTCTCCCAAACTTAAGCATCTTATAGGGATTCCTAATGATGCTGCTAACGAAGAGAGAATGTTGCCATAAGGAGGAGGCAAAACGGCAGTATATAGGCAGCCCCCCGGCCCCTATAAAGCATGCCACTTAATTTCCTGCTGCTTACAGGCAGGCAAGAGGAAGAGAAGGAAAGGTGAGCTGATCTCGAAAAGCTAAGGAGGGCCCAATCTATTTTGCCCTAGAAAAATTCCCGGGGCTGCCGAAGTTGTAAAAAAACACTGCAGAAGAAAGCAGGGGGGAATCGCTTCCCATGTGGTTGTCCAGAAAACTAGACATAAGTATCTGTGCCCTTACAACATTCTGCCTCCTGGGGGGCTTCTTCTTCACCTGCTCTTCAGTAGAACAGATTTTTCCCAGTTGGGTGTCTCCAAGATGCGTTAGGCAACCACACCTTTCTGAATTGCTGGGGATTTAGGGGGCTGCAGTTCCCCGATGCATCCAGAGAGCGCCACGTTGGGGAAAGATGCAGCTGATTGAGCCTAACTCAGGATGTCTGTGGTTTGGATCCTGATCATAAGCCAGGCTTACCTTGCATTGAATGTACATAGTAAAGAGCTGGCCTCCGGTTTCTCTCGTCGTGATCTGCATCATGTGGGCCTGCTGGAAAGCGTTTTCATCCACCCGTTCCACAGCGCAGATTTGCTGGACCGGAATGGAGGTACGGACCTGGGTGTGGAGAAGAAATGTTAGCCCTGCGAGGTAGCCCAGCCAAGGAGCACACCCAGCAGTACGAGCTCTGTTTTTATTGTAAGATGACATTAACAGAAGCTTGCAAGGCTGAAAGTGCATCTCTTCCTCCTCGCCTTTACAGTCCAAGAAATTAGGGAGGGGCCCTTCTGAGATGTTTGCCACCTCCCCATTCCTTCTGCGGGCTCAGATGCCGCTTATCTTTTTCATAAGGTTACATTAACAGAATCTTACAAGGCTGAACGTATTTCTCCCCTCCTTTCCTTTTACTCTCCAAAAAACCAGAGAGGGTCCCTTCTCAAACTCTTCCCATGTCCCTTCTCCTTCTGTGGGCTGAGACATCTTTTACACACCGGTTGTCCGGTCTGCAGCTCTCCCTCCTGTCTCCCAAGGCCATTCCCACAGACCATTACAAGAAAGACCATGCTCCTGAGCCATTATTCTTATTTCCCCAAGTCCTTCCTGGGAAAATTTCTGCACATTTTCGGCTGCTTTGGGAAAGTTAATTTGAAAAGAGGTCCACTATCACTTCCATCGCCACAGAACTTTGCAGTGTGGCAAAGGAAGGCTTCTTAACCAAGCCATGGGAAGGTCCTCCCATCATTTAACTTGATCAAGGAAAGGGAGAGAGGAAGCTTCCTTCATTTAAACCAAGGGACGGCAGACTTTATTCTGAAAGGACCTGTGATGCCTCAATGGAAATCTCTTTTTGGAAAATTAAAAGGTACCGCAGTTGTGCAATATTGGCGCACTTCACAAGATCTCAGGGACCTCATCTTGAGGTCTTGGGCAAAAAGGCAGAATTTGTGCTTGTTCATCCAATGGCCCTCAGCAGGAATGAAACATTAAGCCTCAGAAAACCTTTGCCTATTCCTTTTCTAGATGAAAAAGTGTTCCATAATTCTTTCGGTTATTTGAGATGTACATTTTTTCTCCGACTAACAAATCTGATTAAAAGGCAGAAGCTGCAGCTCACAGCAGGTTCTACCTTCTAATCAAATTTGTTAGGCAGAGAAGGGGCTACCAGACTTCTGATTTTTGGCTACCATCGACTAACACAGCTCTCCTCCGATGGTGTGCGCAATGGTAAATTTATAGCCACTCCTCGGTTAGTGACTGCCTCAGTTAGTGACCATTTGGAAATATGATTGTCATACATGGTAATAAAAAATTCATTTTCTGACCAATGCCTGCAGTTACAACCAAATTCCATGCCCCTGACCACAAAAACCTTCAGTGTAAAACTGATTAAGATCTGGTCAGTTTCAGGCAGCAGTGGGGCAGAGGGTTCTAAGCAACTAATGAAGGTTACAGAGCTGAGCTTGTTAACTTGAAGTTATTACTTTTTAAAGACACGCTGTGCTGTGGAAAAAAGCAGCTCAGGGAGAGATTGCTTGTTTAAGCAAACTCTCCGCCCTGCGAGGGGGCAAAAAAAGGGGGGGAAAACAGGCCAGGCACAGGACACTGTATGAGAGAACTTTATCTGAATGAGATGGAGCAACCAGCAACTATTTCACTTAACGACAAAGTTTCTGGAATGAAATGCGGTCACTAAACGAGGAGAGGGTGTAGTTGTCAAAAAGCATTTTCATCGACCAACTCTCAAGTTGGGCCTGGTTGCAGCTAATTCAGCCTTCTGGCTTTTCCAAGAAGACTGGGACTTACTTGACACTCAGGAGATTTGGAATAGGAAAGACTTTCATTGCTCAACCAGAAGTAACGCTTTTTGAAGGTGAAACGGGACACCAGGTGGAGACCCTCGGCTTTACGTTTCTGCAGGTAACCCTCTTTGATGATGGCTGAAGAGTGGAAAAGGGTCCAAGGTTGTTTTTCACTTCCTTCTAGAGAAGAAAAGCAATGGAGATATCTGGAATGCATCCATTGAGCGAAACGTTGCTGAGGAATTGTGAAGATCTTTTCATTCGATGCTTGTCTAGGGCAAGACCCACCCTCTCAAAAATTCTAACTGCACAACTTTAGGAATTTCCAAGGTGCAACTGTTTTGGTGCAGTCAGAAAGGTTTCGCTGATGATTCCCATGATTCAGCAGGAATGCCAACAAAAGGCAAAGTGTGCTGGCTGCCATTTTGTATTTAGATTTTGTAATTTTTAGTTATATGGTGGCGGTTGGGTTTTTTAAATTATAATTTACTGTTTTTTATGCTGTACTCCACCCAGAGTCACATTCTTTGAGTTGGGCGGCCTTATAAATCTTAAAAAAATAAATAAAATGATAATCAATGGATTTATCTTTGATAAATGTATCTGATATTTGATGAAGAAAAGTTTTGAATGGATAAAACACCCAACTCTTGGAGGCCCACCATCTCTGGGCCTGATTTACTATGCCCAACTTTCACATTTGCAGTTTGTAACCAAACATGTCCCATTGCTTCTGGGAGAACATCACACAGTGGCTCACCAATCTCTGTGTCCACATCTATGAGCCTGTCGAGGAATTCTTGGACTCGTCCAATGCTAGAGAGGATGAAGGGATGGAGAGGCTCCATCCATTGCTCCTTCCCGTGACCTAGCTGGAGCCCGAGGTTGCCAATGCTCTGCACTGCCTGCCAAGGAGAGAGGCAGGAAAGAAAACCTTTGGCCCAAAGGTGCTGGTTGACCCACACAGGGACAACCCAACATACCAAACCTGGGTTAACAACATACATCTTCTGCATGTGGTGGCCATTTAGTGATAGACCCACGGCACACTTCTAACATTCCAAATGTTATCCAGTGTTTCCAACAAACATTGCCTAATCTTATGCTACATTACCCTTGCTCTATCTGGTGAGGTTGTTTTCATCTTCTCCTTCCCCAGTTTGTTCGTTCGTTCATTCATTCATTCATTCATTCATTCATTCATTCATTCATTCATTCATTCAAGAACTCCTGAATTCTAATACCCCCTTTAGAGCAGTGTTTTTCAACCTTGGGAATTTTAAGATATGTGGACTTCAACTCCCAGAATTCCCCAGCCAGCAGAAGTCCACACATTTTAAAGTGACCAAGGTTGAAAAACACCACTTTGGAGCAACTCAGAGGTGAAACGCATTAGATGTACCTTGGCCAGAAGCAAGAGGGTCCGGCTGGTCTGAGTGTCTGCGTGCTGGTCCCGGAGACTGAAGAGCTTCGGGGTCAGAATTGCAGGGGCAAAAAAGCGGAGGAAGAGGAAGCCACTGATGGCGATGTATTTGGCTTCCTGGAAGGATACCAACAAGAGGGAAGAAAACACAGATAGATTGACTCTATCACCCTTATGGAAAACAAAAGCCGTCTGCTACTCAAATGCGAATTATAAATGCAAAAGCACCAAAGACAACCTCAGGACCTCTGAAATGACAACAATTTGCTCCCTTCCCCAAACCGGGTTCTCACACTCTCAACCAGGATCATCCCACTGACCTCTTTCTAGCTTCTCCACATTTTCCGTTGGCCAGAAGACAGACCGTGCCAACAGAAAAGCTTTAGAGTCCTCCTCTTTGGAACAGGCTGCTCAGTCCCAAAAGACCCACCTGGTTCTCTGCTTCCTTAAATCGCTCTTCCACTCGCTTGTACAGCTGTTTGAAAGCCACTCTCATGATGGGGGGACAATTCTCGGTTGAGCCCACAATGGCATCCACGATGTCTCCCAAATACCCCTTCAGCACCTCCAAGCTGCTTTCTCGGATCTGGGCCTCGGACAGGGAGCCTTTGAAGGAGATCCGCCTGGGCAAAATACCCCAAAGAGGTGAGGAGAACAGGAATTTGCACTTTTAAGGGGGAGAAAAAGAAGACATTGGTGCCTCTCCAAAGCCTACAGCACAGCTGGAATCTGCTTTTTCCAAGTCTTGGCTGTGAGAAAAAGTCAGCAGAAAGATTTGCTACGAAGTTTAAACAGCCTCCCTTTAGGCAGAGTAATAGTTATCCCCTTATTTCGGTCACCGACCAGCATAACAGCATTCAAGAATAAAATTCCAGCCATCCCATTGTGGTAAGAGTCTAACCTGGGTACTATCAGAATTGACTAAAATTCTGATCACTGGTGCAAACTATAAAATCATGGTACCAGTACTACTAAGACGGTAAGTTTGGAGTTTTAAAGACAAAAATTAATATGGTGATGATTACGGGTCATCAAGTCATTGTTGACTCTTAGTGACCACATGGATAGATTTTCTCCATGATGATCTATCCCTAACCTGTTCTTTCAAGACTTCCAACAGTGCAACATCACCACTGCAACTGAGTCCATCACTTTGCTGCTGGTCCTCTTCTTCTTTCCTTCCACATGTCCCAGCATTATGGACTTCCCAAGGGAGCTGAGTCTTTCTACTGATTGGTTGGTTGATTGATTGATTGATTGATGATGTGTCTTCAAACCAGTGTTGACTCTTAGCAACTGCATAGATCGGGTTTCCCCATGGTGATCTGTCCCTAACCTGGTCTTTCAGGTCTTCCAATGGTGCCCCCATCACCACTATAATTGAGTCCCTCCACTGTGCTCTGGTCATCCTCTTCTTCTCTTTCCTTCTACCTTTCCCAACAGGAGAGCCTTCTCCAGACAGCTGAGTCTTCGCATAAAGTGTCCAAAGTAGGAGTGTGTGTGTGTCCATGTAATATAGAATATTATAAGTTACAGTAATATATTATCCAGTAATATTTAATTTGGATAAAACTATAGTATATATAGTAATGGAAGACAAATAAAAATACCAAAATAGAAAACCAGTATAGCACTAAAATCTTCATGTTACCTGAGGGACTGCCCAGTTACATCTGCCCGTCCCATCAGATCTGGCAGAGAAGGCATGCTATGGATCCCGTCTGCTAGAGAATTGCATTTGATGGGTCCCAGGAGATGGGACTTCTCTGTTGTGATGCCCGTCTTGTGGAATCTTCTCCCCCCAGATGTGGAATTAGCTCCAACCTTCTCAACATTCCTCAAGTCCCTCAAGACCTGGCTGTGCGATCAGGCTCCAGGGGACCGGGGAGATTTTATGATGGCTCCGTTTGTTAATTTCATCCCCTCCTGTTTTGTATGCTTTTACAGTTTTTTATTTCTAATTGTTTTTATGTATTTATATTTTTAATTGTTGGAGTCACCTTGTGTGAGATGGGCGGCTATATAAATATGATAAATAAATTAATAAATAAAAATATAAAGGAGCCAAACATGACCAATTGCAATAGCTGCTTTTCGGCATTAAGGGGATCTCTAGAAATTGATGATGATGGTGATGATGATGATGATGATGATGATGATAAATCAATAAAAATGCATATAAGCATGATGCAGGGAATTCTTTAGATGCAACCCAGGTGAAACAGCCACAGTGAAGCCAACACAACTCAGGAATATCAAAAACACTTTTCTTTGCTTGCATGTTTAACTTAGTAGATGTATGTCCCTCAAGAATGTTCAAAGCAAAAGCATAATAAGGCACTTAAAAAGTGGCCCCAAAATTAAATATCCCCTTGCAAAAAAACAAAAGAAAACACCCTCCTTTTGGACTTCAATCATACATTCAATAATCCTCAAATAAAATAAGTCAGTTTTTAAAATCTACATAGGACGCTTCCTCTTGCTCTCTCACTGGATGAGAGAGAGTGTTGTAAATTTATGGCATCTTTATAATATCTATTTTATTTGTAAATATAGAAGCAGAGTAGGCTGGAAACACATCAACACTCCTACAGATGGCAACAACTTGACTGACCTGAGATAAGATTCCCACAGAGCAGTTTTCTCACCTCCCTGGTGCCACAAAATTTCACCCACCTTTTAGCTTACCCCAGATAACTCTCCGTTTTATCCTTGATTCCAGATTCAACACTTCAAAGGCCTTTGCTTTCCCATACATAGTTGCAGAACATCAGTGTTCAGATCCGCCCTAGGCCTGCAGATTGCACATTCCAGGAACAATTTTTTATTTGTCTTTCAGTGACTGCATCAACTGCCCACAGAAATTAGGATGGGCCAGGGTGAATCCACTATGTTCAAGTTAAGGTTATAGGCAGAAGTGGGACATGAAGTGCAAAAATAAAATTGAGAAGTAGAAGTGTGAAGCTAGAGACTTTGAGTTCAGGACCATGGAGAGCACCCTGGCTTCTCGATGCAGATGAGTTACTCCAGTACTGCCTATACTGGTATTTCTCAACCTTGGCAACTTTGAGATATGTGGACTTCAACTCCCAGAATTCCCCAGCCAGCCATGCTGGCTGGGGAATTC